CAAGGTAAGGTGCAAAGCTATTAATTCGATTAGGGACAGCCAAGGGCGCAGCGAGGGTTTAACTTGCTCTGATGGTCTCTGCAAACAGGCCTGGGATTAAAGCTGCTACGTTAATTTTCGGTGATGATGAGAACTCATTTCGGCTTCCGAACAAGGGTAAGCACGGGGTTAGTTTAGGCCCCAGGGGACGCCCCAAGGGTAGCCATGTCCTCAATTCTCCAATCCTGGGAACAGGAGTTGGGGGCGGTTTGGGAGTCTTTTCTCCCGGAAACATTAACAATATACCCCGAACCTTGCCAATTTGGGGTATGCTCAAATCAGGGCCCAATTTCCACGGCATACGCAGCCTGACTTGAGCATACCCCAACCCCACCATTCCACCAAAACACACATTCCGGACCCTGAAGCTGGGGACCTAGTGAAGGGGGGAAGCCGACCGCAGTGCCATGCCATAGTTTCCCACAACAAGTGCTTTTTCGGTGGGACAGGTCCCAGGATTGGTTGGAACAGCTTTCACTGCAGTTTACAAAAGCTGATCCGGGTTTCCATCATGTGCAGAACCATGCTGGCCACAGCAAGGGATCAAATCAGGCGCAGAATTGGTAAACAGTTCTTTGAAAGCTCTCACCTTTTTCACTTTGCGTTGACCCTTCACCGGCCACAGAATGTGCATAGCAAAAACCTGCGTGATGCAAATTGGAGTAGGCTAAAACCTTGAAAACTGTGCCAAAACTGGTCGGGGTATGGTCCAAAGGTATGGTGTCGAGTTCTTAGAAAACCGAATTGGGCCCGCAACTTGAAATAAACCCGATTTCATATTCGCTTGAGGTCATCCCTTTTCGTTTGGCCTTAGGACGGAAACCCAAAAAGAAACCACCCCTTCTACAAACTCCAATAGAAAGATGTGGGGCCAAGCAAGCAAATCGGCCGAGCAGTCGTTCCGTGTAAACCAAGCCAACGCTGAGCGCAACAATACGTTATGTGGATCAGCAGTGCCTTCAGGTACGTGGACGGTTGGCTTAGTGGTGTGACCCATTGCTAGTGGCTAAGCTTTTAGCTCGATCTCTCACGAATAGGCATGGCTGAGAACCTCCCGAGACTCGGCCAAGAGGCAATCATCTCTGGAGCCATGTACTCGGGAGTGCCCAGCAAAGTGTGGGTCTTGCCTCGAGAACTGCAAATCAGCTTTTAAGATCCCCACCCCGTTAAGGGGGGGATGTTTGGAAATGGAACTTGCATTTTCGGGGTTTGTCACCTAGAAATGTAAGATTACCATTTGCTTCTTAAAACATGCCATGTTTTTCGGACCCCCAGAAAAAAAGATCTTTGGCAGAAAAGGCCTGTGCCTAGCCGCACAAAAAATATATGGAAAGTAACAAGTCCGAGCGTGATGCGGTGGCTGTTGTTGAGAGAAGAGGAAGAGGATGAACAAGAAAAGGTTAAACAGATGATGATGATGATGATGATGATGACGATGAAGATGATGATGATGATGATGATGATGATGAGGATGAGGATGATGATGTGATGATGATGATGATGATGATGATGATGATGATGATGATGATGATGATGATGATGATGATGATGATGATGATGATGATGATGATGATGATGATGATGATGACGATGATGATGATGATGATGACGATGATGTGATGATGTCATTGGTAATCACATGAGTATAACATGGCCCAACAAACACTCACGCACACAACAAGAGTCAACACGTAACATGCAACAGCAATGAGCACAGCAACACAACACGCCAATGTCATCGGCCCCCCAACAGGTCAACCACATGCGAAACGCGAATCTCTAGTGTTTGGTTCTGCGTTTGTTCAACCACTGTTCTTTCACGAACCGGCCCTTTTCCACGGCTCGTGGTGGGTTTCCTGGGAAAACACATTGCCTGGAAGAATGACAAGTTACAGTGCCACCAAATAAACAAATTCCAATATAGCAGCTCCAACAAAGGTGCAAAGCCCCAACCATAACTCGAAATGCAAACTACACACACACAAAGCAACCTGGATGTACATCAAAACCTTGCCCCCCAACAATTGATCGATCCCCAGAAGCCAACTGGGTGTGTGGTTTTCAAGGGTGCCCTTTTCAGGTTCTTCTGAAAGGCAGCAACAAAAGGAAACACACATCTCGTGACACACAAATCTGCCTCCCTTTCAGCGCAAACCCCTACCCCTCAGGTGAGCAGGAGGGATCGATCCGCAAAGAAGAGGTGAACCACGTCCAAGTCGCGCAGAAATCCTAGGTCCTCCAGATTTGAGAGGTCAGAATAAGTTGGTACCAACCTTTTTCAGTCTACTTAGTAGCAGAACCCTCCCCCAAAAAAGAAACGGTAAAAGGGCACCTAGCTGGGGACCCATCAACAAGCGCCTCATGTTGAAGCATCTCAGGCCATGTCCGTGGCCCCGGGCTCAGCACAAAACGCGCGAAGCCGAGGTCGCAGAGCTTGGCGTAACCCCGGGAGTCAAGGAGAACCTGACGGGTGAAGGGGGCGGAGGGCCGGGGTTGCCTGGGGGTCGGGGGGGTCGGGGGGGGGGGGCCCAGGGCCGGTCCGAGAAAAAACAAAACAATTGCAGCATCCGCCCAGATGGAGAGGCGCGCTCTGCAAAAAGGCGACCAAGAGAGGTGGATGTTTAAAGCAAAGGCAGGGGCTCCTTGTGTGTGTGACCTATGAACATCACGAAAGATGGATCTTTAAAGCCGGCAGGGGAAGTTGAAACGCAGGGACTCTCGTCCCATGCGACTCAGAAGGTGGCTGCCCAAGATGCGATCTGATCGGGGATTTGGGCAGAAATGGGCCCCAAACCAAAGGGGAAACCAAAGGAAACCAAAAGGAAACCAAAGTCAGCAAGGGAAACCAAGGAAATTAAGGGAAACTAAAGCAATTGTCTGCCTGGGTTTCCTATTCGAGGCTCCGAGCAACCCTGGAACCAGATAGCAAGAGGACCCCCTGCCAATGTCCGACACATGTGTTTTGATTGGAGGTTCGGAGCGACCCTGAGTGTGTTGGAGTTAGACACTGGGAAACAAATACAGCATCATTTTGGAACAAACCAATGGATCCACTACAATCCATCAGACAAAATAATGGGTGGGGAATCAATTCTGGGGTTGGAATCAATGTTGGGTTGGATTTATTGTATTCATCTCTATGTATTAATTATGTCCTCAAATAGGAGAGTCCTCCACATGGTTAGTGCTCGTGTTGCCTTCCTTTAAAGCAAAGCCGAGTTTGGGGTGCTCACATGGTTTCACCACTTCAGGGCATGCACGTTTTGCTACCTTCCATGTGCATTCTTGCCAGGGATCCGAATCTTTTCAGGAAACCTAAACCCCACAAAAAAAAACTTTCCGGTTTTTGAAAAGAACGCTGGTTGAAAAGAATGGTTGCAAGGAATCAACCCCTAGAGGTTTAAGTTACGCTCCGCTTCGTCCGCTCCATGAAACCAGCGAGGCTGTGTTCGTCGAGCGCCCGGGGCTCAAGTGGCAACCGTTCTCTATGCCCAAATCCCAACAGTATCCAAAGGGGTTCCAGAAAACCACACATATATGCTGGACTATGCCCAAATCCCAAGTCACTACAAAAGGCAGGAGTTGAGTGCCTGGCCGATTAAATGGGATCCCATTGGTTTTGACCCACAGCCATGTCCAAATCCCAAGTACCCAACCGAAAAAGGCAGGAGTTGAGCGCCTGGCCGAACCCAACTTCAAACGCCGACCCGGACCCTCAAACTGCCCTTTAAAATGGGTTACAACCCATTTTTAGGGCCAGTTTGAGGGTCCACGCAAGAGGTGGACCCTTTTCCAAAGAGTCTGCTTTCGTGAGCCTTCCATTTGCCTTTTCTCGGCAAGGAATCGAAACATCTGTCAACAAAAAGTTCATAGAGTTATAATTTGACTAACCCCCATTGAGTGAATGGGCGTCAAAATGGTCCAACATACTTCCGAAAATGTGCATTGGCCGAGACAATCTCAAACTTTCGTGTGTTGTTTGCGCTAACACGGTCTTCCCCCAAGAATGCTTGTCCAGAAACTCGGGAAGTGAGAGCCAATGTGTAGCAGTGGCTGCAGGGCTTGGCTATTATTCTGGGTAATGCTATTATTGTAGGGGGTCGCCACTTTCTGAGCCTTGCTGTGCAGAAGGCCATGCAAAGATGAACAGTCTCAGGTTTCAGTACAAGCTGAGTAATTGGGATTGCAATGGGATTCAGGATCTCAACTTGGCCATGTGCTAAAACTGTGTCCCCCCCAATTCTAGTTGAGTATTGGGGGCTTGGGGTGCTGGGGAAGCCTGATTCTATCACACTCGGAGAGTGTTGTGGTCTTTTTTGAGGAGGCTGTACCAACTTCAGTCAGGTAGCATCTGTCATTTGGGATACTCCAAATATATATATATATATATGTTCTGAGCCTCTCCATACATTCTATAGTGATCATCTCCATACCTTCAAGCCCCAGAAGCTGAAGCTTGTGTACATACTGGACGCGAAATCCGTCACTACTTTGAAACCATGGTTGGAACTTCCGTTTGTTGGAATTTAATACTGTGGATGGACAAAACCCTGCACCACTTCGAGACAAAGGGTCACCATCGCTTCTTGGTATTTACAGGGGAATCATTCAAGGCTTTCTTGGGTGGTGCGAAATGGATTGCATCCATCCACAGTATGGGCATCGAATCATTCCGCCGTTTCATGGATTTCGCCATCCACGGATTCTGGCACATTGGGCGCCCGGCATTCTCGAGCTTCAGGTCTCTGTAGGCAATGCGGCGCTCGTGGAGATACTCCAGCGCCTAAAGAACAACACATATGGCCTGTGGATGCTGTGGATGGAACTGCGAAATAGTTTAATGTACACACATATATATATATATATATGCTACCCCCCCCTCCCAAAACCCGTGTTTTGGCATGCGTGCATGCAGAAGGCACTCCTTTTGAACCAGGGCCCCGAGAAAGCCTGCATCACACTCACTGGGATGGCTTTTTGATGAACTTAGTCATCAACCATTCGCACAGTGTCCCAGATGCAACCCACATATCCTGGTTCCTATACCAGTACTGATACTGTGCAGAACGAAGCTTTGCTCGTAACAAAGAAGACCCTACCTTCGCATTCTGGTTGATGGTCAACCTGTCCTTCAAAAACTTCCAGGCCCGATCAACCACCTGTGTCCCAGACTTCACTGTCATCATCTTCTTCGTGATCGGGTTCTTGTGCTTGCGAGCTTTACATAGGTCGGGGCCTTCCACTTCCACTGACCCTTGACTTTGACCCGCTTCTTCCCGTGGACCACCTTGTCGTGGAGCACCCCAGGCACCCTGGTCTTGTAGCTCTTGGCCGAGTCAGTGTGCAGGATCACCTTCTTGTCCTGCAACCACTTCTTTGCCAAAGGAGTCCATTCCACCTTTCTGATGGCGCCAGGCCCGGGAGCTCTCTTGGCCGACTCCCTGGGGGACAGCCTGCTCAAGACAAGTGTCTCCGGGTGGCCACGTTGGACTATGCCACACCACTGCTCCCAAACGACCGGGTTCTTGGGGTCAGGGGCTTTGTTACCAAGGTCCATGCGATCGAAGGTCGTCTCGTCCGCCTCGACATCCGCCCACTTCTGGTCCTTGCCAAAGACAATGTCCTTCTCCTTTGCCTCCACCCATGTCTTGCGAGCATGACACAGCCTCTTGTCAAGGTCCTCGACCATCTTGTGGTTGACATGAAGAAGACGATGGACCGCAGGGTTGGAAATGTTGTTGAGCTTCAACATGAGGAGGGCTGCCTGTGTCTGCAAGGGCTGCCTGTGTCTGCCTGAATGGTATTGAGGAATTGCCAGAGAGTTTCCAGAAAGCTTCCTGGAAAACTCAGTTTGTTTGCAGTTTGTTCAGTTTTGCAGAGAGTTTCTTGTCTGAATTGTATTGAGGAATTGCCAGAGAGTTTCCAGAAAGCTTGATTGAAAACTGAAAAAACAGCCTGACAACTGAGGGTTCTGGCAGATTCAGGTTTTTTTTGTCAGAAAACACAGTAAATACCAGTGTTTTCAGACCGAACCTGGGTTTTTTTGGGGGGGGTACCATATATATATATATATGTATATATATATATATTTATATTTATATGTAAATATATATATATATATATATGTAAATATATATATATATATACACATTAGGCTTTTCTTGTTCCGCACCACGAAATGGAAACCCATGAGGTTGAAACCATAAGGTGGGTTGGAGTTTACAGAGGAATGAACATCATTCCGTTGGGTTCCTGAACGATGCAGCGAAGCAGCGAAGCAAACTCTGCGAAGGTCTGAAGCCCAAAACCATGCAAATGAATCACAAAACACATCGGAAGTCCGCACCTGGGTTCAACAAGTGTGGCTCAAGTGGGACGTCACTCAAGTCCCCAACCTTCCGCAGCATGTCCCTCGGGCGCAAGAGTTTCATAGACCATGTGTCCAGAACGGTCAAACTTCATTGGATCTGGATCGAACTCTTCAAACCGAATGCCCAAAAAGAATTCTGGGAGCCTCAAGAAATCCTTTGATGTGGCACAACCCAAAGCTATGAGGGTGCGTCTTGTTTTTGAGGGTATAGCTTTAAGGGGAACCAACAGAAAAACCGAGCCACCCACATGACTGCCCTGGATCTATCAACCGACAGAGGCGGTCCAACACCGCAATGGATTCCCGCGTCATTCCATTTACCAGTGGAGGTAATCAAGGAAAGCATGAGCAATTGGCTCATAGTTCGCACACGAATCGGTGGAATCCCTCGCCACGAAAAAGGCGATCTGTTTTTCTTTTCTTTTTTTTGCAACTACAAGGTTTTCCCAAAAAGTTTAAGGGCGAACTCAGGGAGTGAGACCTCACGTTCTTGACCCTGATTGTACCGATGGGAAGAGGTTTACTAGGGCCGGCAGGAATTGAACCTGCAACCTCCCCAGCAATTCTGGGGCGCGCTGCCATTGTGCCACAGCCCCTTCTCACCACATTGGATCTCATTCAGACGGGCTGAAGTATGGAATTGCTTGCTTGCCTTCACTTTCTGTGCACTTTCCTCTTTTTTTGTTGCTCGGGCTGGCCAAGTTGAGCACCAGCGTCACGCAGCCACAGTAGAACATGGCGGCGCTGCCTGAACGGCGACTTGTTTGAGTGCAGTACCCGTGTCTTCAACGACCAGGGCTGACATGCGTAAGTCCAATTCCTCATGGTTCAATTTTGACCCATACAGAGCTACGTGTGTCTTTTCTGGAACCCTCATAGAATTGGCAGATTGGTCTTGCTTGTGGTTTCCCAAAACAAATAACCGGCACCACCAAAAAGCACGAGCCACCCACAACATTGCAAGCCCACAAGAAGCCAGGAGCATTAGAACCACTCAAAAAGAATCGCCGCAATTCCGGATGCCTGGCGGCCGGTAGCTGCGTATTCCGTTGCCATACCAACAAACTCCAATCATACCAGCTTGAAACCATGGGTTGAAGCCCCTTGCTTGGTATCTTACAGGGCAATACCCTCCCTCCCTCTAACATGGCACCTGACAGAGGGTCCCTTGAAGAGGGCCCCTTGATCTTCCAGGTACCCGCTCACAGGTGCCATGTTGTTGGGAGGGGTAATCATTCGGGAAACCATGACACATGCTTGGGTCAGGAATATTGATCCACCCCACGGGGGCTGTCAGTCACAACGAAAAAAAAACACCACCGGACAGGTTCTTGCTTGCTCCCTATGTTCCCGGACAAACACCCGCCTCCAAAAGAGTGCCCTCAAGTCACACAAACGGCTTCTGGCCCTTGGCTGTGTGCCTTTTGGGGTGCTGGTCTTTTATAGTTTGTAAGAAAAGCAACGGCACACCGGGCCGGTTTGAGACAGAGCCAATGCTGCATGTGCTTCATGCCGTTACTTCTTTGAACAGTTCCCCAAAACAGAGTGGTCATGATCGACAATGACAAAAAAGATCACGCATTCCGGAGTGCGTTTGCCAAACAAACGTCGCCAAGACCTTCCTTAAGGCCTTCACCAATCCGGACTTCGGGCTGTATCGTGTGGATTCCCTATGCCTATTGCAAACCAACCCACCGCATTGGCTCTTAGTTGCATGAGTTGCGGACAATACAACTTAACGTGTTCCCGAAGAGGACATGGAGAAATTCAGCAACTGATGGCCCCCTTCTCATCTTCCCCCCCCCCCCCGCAAAAGCACAATGATTAACTGCCAGATGTGTTTTGTGCCGGTGCTGATATTGAGGTCATGCCTTCCGTTTTCCGCAGGTCCACTCAAAAACAACGACTATTTGGCAACCGTTTTCCTCTAAAGCCGGGGCAAACCTTCAAAGTAGCGAATCGCGCGCAGGGCGTCCGGGTCAACAAATGGTGGACACAGGCGCCACGTCTGATACTGGTGAATCGATCTATGGCATAAAATCAAGCAAAACCAGTGATGCTATTGGCAACCCTGGTAAATGGATGGCAGAAAACCAATCTAAACCAGAACCCATCTGTTTCTATCCAACACCTAAAAAGGACACACATGGTCGTGCGCGTGGAACACTTTGCAGTCCCACTTCAAACAACCAAGATACCCCATACATTCTGGCACCTGCATTGTCCAAATGTTTGCGGATGTGCAGCACCCATAAAGTATCATCAGTGAGCACTTCAAAAGGGGCCTGAAAACGGGTGCCCTTTGATTTGTTCGGTTGTAATTTCTCCCTGTGGGTTGGAACTGGCCATGGGAAATACCACGTTGCTTGATGCCAAGCCGGGTCATGACTACTTTATCACTTCCAAGGGTGTCCTTGGTACTGATTGCGAAATCCATGTCGCACCGAACTCAGACACCCTGGAGGATTCGATATGGCGTCTCAAAGCGCTGCGAACGGATTTCCAGAACGCCCCGATCCTGCCGATGAGAAAAGCCTGTCCTTTTAGGTTGGAAATAGATGGGATTCCCTGGTAGATCATTCCAGGTTCCACCAGGTAAACCAGGAATCGAAACCCCTCTATTTTTCGACCAAAAGAACCAAAAAGGGAGCCACCTATGCCCAGAACACCCTGGAACCCTTGCGGGAAACAACCCTGAAAGCCCCAAACTTCAACAGAGGCTGTCTGGGCACAGACCCCATAGATTGTAGCTGTTGGTAGAATTGTTTAAACCACCAGGTAAACCAGGAATCACATTTTGTTCCGACCAAAAGAACCAAAAAGGGAGCCACCTATGGAGAAAAGGCCCCGATCCAACTCACGACTCAGCAGTCGGCAGCTTTTGCTTTTTTGTTGTTGCCTCGCCTCGAGGCCTGTCAGACAGAAGCACCTGAAGCGATCGATCTAAAGACCCAGTGCTTTCCTGTGACATCTGCCACCAAGTGGGTGCGTCTTTCTTGGAGTTGGAACCCCCTTTTTGGGTGGTTGAAAAAAGGGAAGCCAAACATCTGTTGGCATATTTTCACCCAATTGGGTGTGCCTTTTTTGGAGTTACCCCTTTGTTGGCGGTTGAAAAAAGGGAAGCCAAAAGGAAAACCCACCATTTTGGGGGGTCCCCTTTAAAGAAGAAACGCTCATTTGGGGGCATCAAAAACTTTGGTGTTTAGAGTTGGGTTTACGGCTGGTTGAGGTTGGCCTAGAGTTTGCATAGGTTTGTGCTGGCTGGTCTAGGATGCTTTGGTACTGGTTTCGGGTGGCTTTGTGGGTTGGTATAGGGTTTGCTTAGGGCTTGTTTCGGGTTGGTTGCATGGTACGATATAGGGATGATTCAGGGTTGTAGGCCGAGTTCCGTGGGGGGTTTGGTTGATTTAGGGTAGGTTTAGGGTAGCCATCATGTGGGCTGTTCATCATTTTAGCCTAGGGCAAAGATGCAAGATATTACCAAGCGTCGATCATCCATTTTGGGCGAAACCATCTTTGCCAAAACGGAACTCCAGCCTTCCATCGAGTTGAACACGCCCCTACACAACCTCCAGTAGATTTCCAGTGGACAAACATGCGATTCTGTTGGTTGCATTTCAAGAAAATGCCCCGCCCAAAAACCAGAAAAGCGGACACCTTGCTGTGGTTGCTTGATTTTGAAGGACCACCCGCACAAAAGATTCACAAAGGCAGGGGGTGTTGCTGAGGGAAAAAAACATTGGCCGGTGGAGTTGACCCTTCCGAACTTCAATTTATGTTTCCTTTACACCCATGAAACACCTGGCCGGGTGAAAGGTTTACCCAGCCCAAAGCTTGAAGCAACACTTCCTTTTGCTTCAGAGACCCCCCTAAAACAAATGAGAACATATTCCAGTAGTGAAATCGCTTTCCTGCAAAACCAAGAGAAAACCATGATCAAAAAAGAAAGAAGAAACACATTTCGGCAAATGGAAGACAACGGTCAGAAAGCCGTTCTCGCTGGGGACTTCACAACGCAAGCCGCGCCTGCGGCTTGTCGCAGAGAAGCTGGAACAAATGCCCGCCCGGCGCCAGCTCGATTAGCATGTAGACCTCGGAGAGGACGGCCAGCTGCTTGGCTCGGCGGCAAAACAAAAAGGAGATTCGGGATGCGAAGTATGCGGAGACCGGGATGTCAATTGTTTACCAGGATGTCCTCTTCAGGTGATCAATTTACTGATGGTTTCCCCTTGAAACTGCCACTTTTGGAGGCTCCAGAAAGGGACATGGAGGAAGAAGGGGACATGGGAAACCACCCTTATAACCACTAA